CAGAAAATTAATGCAGGTGTAACATTGTAATTGTATTTTAAGTAAAATTGTATTGAAAGAAAACTTTCCCTATAATTCAGTTAACATAAGCCACGTTTCGTGACGTCTGCGATCTCTAATTTACTAAGGACACTGGATGGCACAACTGTTTTATCTGGTGGCTATCATAATACGCTGTAATTTGCATTCTTTCTCAAAACTAATTTTATGGCACCTGTTTTAATATTAAGCCTTCCTGCAGCTGTATAATGAGATAATCGAGCGACGGTGTTTTGCATACTTTTTTTCAAATAAACAATCAACTATCTTCTCCAAAATGAGTTCTTCAGCTTTTCTCAAAGTTGGAGCTGCAATTTTGTCTTTTATCCTTAGTATTTTGTTTGGAGTCAGATCGGCATTGGGTTTTGGTGGCACAGGAGAGTGTTTCCCTAAGGATAGCTGTAATATGTGCAGTTTTAGACATCCGTGAGATGGGAGGTGTTCCTGAAGACACAAATGAAATAATCCTACCTCTGTGAAAAGAGGTGATAGTGGTATTATATTCTTCAGCTTCTGCAATTTTTACGTCTTGTTTCAGTAAAATTGTTCCTCACGTTCTGCCTCCTCTTCTTCTTTAATTTCGTGAACAGAGAACACGATTACTAAGAGCAAACTTCTGGTTGACTGAAAGCATATTCTGAGAAAAGTTTCAGCAATACAATCTCTGATCTCACCGGGCTTTTATGAGACGATCATTGTTTTACTGGTTTATGTGAGTTTGTGACTATTGTTACATGCTAGGAAAGACGTATCGGCATATGTAGTTAACATAAGACACTGAGAATTTGTCAGGCTGAGTATTGACCCTCTCATTATGGAACAATTTGGGGAAGAGAGAGAAATAGGAAAAACACCGAAAAGGAAAAACACAGTCTGGCTTCCAAAAACGGATATGAAAGTATGAATCGGAGGCCCTGGATAAAAATTCTCGAGGAATTTTACGCAACTGTTCTTACGAAAGACGGGGAAGACTACAAGCTTGATGGCTTTCATGTAATGGTTACTGCTGTCGACCTACAGCCTATACCTAACAGAGAAAGAATACAAACGCTCAATTATTCTCGAAGAGGTTGTAAAAGTTTGAAACGAATTCTTGACGAAAAAGCTCGACATTTTTGCGTGTATATTATTACTAGTAATCGCATGATTATCATATTTTTAATAGACTACAAATTTCACCCGCCCTACAGGCTAATTCGGTTAACCTTTGAAAAATTTATGCGCGCTGATTTATCCCAGATTGCACTGAAAATCATGTCATTACCTATACAAATTTCGTTAATTCAGTTGATCCCTGGCTCAGTACGGTTTTGCGAATTTCGTAAAGCTGCATTTCACGACACCACATTGTATGTGAGTCTACATGTGCGTAGGCGCCAAATTAGTTTCTTCGATCAATGTGGTCCAACATCAGTCTGTTTTTGTGGAAAATTTTAATCCCGAACTCAGCTTGGTTTCGAGGGTCCGTTTTATGTAATAATTACTGGTAAGAAAATAAGCGCGGGATAATGGTCATCACTCTGTCACGGAAAAGCACATCTTTCCCCTCATGATATTAGACGTTCTTTGCAAGCTTAAGTACATTAGAGACCAAACTTAACAACAGGCTAACGAGCTATACGAGTAATTTCTCGAAACAGGAAAGGAGATCTACATGCCGCCAAAATTGTGTTATTGACTAATGTCAGCCAATCCTCTCAGTGCAAGGCGGAAACGAATTTCATTTATATTGTTGACTGCCCATTTACAAAGCTTTAGTACAATGGCAAGGTATTTTGGTTAAGAATAAGACCTACTCCTAACTCAAGACGCGCCGTCATTTTCAAGAGTGAAATGGAAACGTGTGGGCGATCTCACTCGGCCCTCAAAATAAAACCAAAACACCAGTTCAATTAAAAGTGAGTTAGGCATGAAAGGAAGATGTACATGCCTCTCACAAGAATGTCGACAGGCAGTTTTTGCCTTGTCTTGATGGGTTACTCTTAAAGACTTAAATGCTCGAAAGTTTGTGATAAATACTCTTCGATAATTGCCTTCTTTTTTGATCGACTTCAGCTACGAAAATATAGATGAATATTTTTTTGTCGTAGTTTCGCATATAAGCCATGACAGGTGATCTTTTACCAGGTTAATATGAATTGGCTCGTTAGGGAAAACCTGTTTCAGTTATAAATAAGACACACTTAACATGGTTGATCAAAGGTACTCACTAACAGTAGTCAGTAAAAAGTAAACAGGAAAAGTAGCTCTGAGGCAAAAAGCAGCCACATAAATAAGGACTGATAAGAATTTGGATGAAATATCAAATTTCTTTCTCAAATTTGCATGACAAAATCAGCTGACGCTCACTGGGTAAACTTTGAGCACGTTGCAGTCGTTACGCTTGCGTTAAGTAGCTTAGGGTTTTTTTAATTTTAGCCTGGGTTTTACGTTTCGTTTCGTTGCAGGGTTTGGTTTCCAAAATCTGTGGTTTGCGAATTGGGAGGTGAAAACATTAGGAGGATGCGTTCTTCAAGAACACGTTGTTAAAGAAATAAATTTAACCATGGGAATTGAGCCAACGGTGACTGTAGATACGAGTGTCATCTGGAAAGTTCTTGTGTATCTGTGAACATTGGCCCACCCGACGAAGACATGAATGATAAAAAATGAAATCGGCGTGACTGTCATAAGACACGACAGCGAAAACAGGACTTTGGTGGACGGATATGAACCCACGGAATCTATTCTCATTTCTCAACTGGTGAGCCTCATCAACGTGTCCCTGCACTGTGAGCAGTTCATCAAGTACGAGTACAGAGGATCTACATTGGAAGATGGCTTTTGGGTTTCACATGATTCAATAGAAATGACATTCTGGAGTGGTGCGCCACCTGAATATCAGGTGGAAGTTACACTGAAGCTTGAATTTGTTCTTACGAGATTGGATGTACTGTGGCCCCTCCTACTAATTCATAACACATAATTCCCCATCCAGGGATATGTTTCAGTGGCATTTTTATGATACCCACTTACGCTCGAAAGTGGAGGAGTTTTGAGAGTTAAGATGGCTGAATCGATATCTTTCTCATCCAAAAAATATCCTCATACAACTTGGTCGATTTCTCGCTCTAACGTTTCATTTATTTTCACAATTTTATCAAAATCTTACAGTGACTTAAAGAAGCTTTAACCTAAGACAACAAGTGGAATCTGTCTGATTGATCCTGATGGTGAACGAGGATTGCTACCTTCCACGTCACATCTGACATGAGTCACGACAGCGAGAACAGGACATTGGTGGACGCATATGAAGCCGAGGGATCCTACTCTCGCAACATGTACTACAAAGGAGCGAACATCTCTCAACTAGTGAGTCTCGTCAACGTTTCCCAACAGTGTGAGCAGTTTATCAAGTACGAGTGCCTCGATTCTACAATGCATGATGCTTTCTGGGTGTCACGTGATTCAATAGAACTATTGGGGCGGAACAGCTCTTGATCCAGATAGTCCTACGAAGTGGCACATGCGGAATGAACAACACCTGTCCAAGAAAAGAGAAAGTTTGTAACTTTTTTACAGGTGAAAGAAACTGGCATAAAAATGGTGGTCTCCTCATTGAAAAGACGCACCTACCAGTTAAACAGCTGGGGTTTTGAGATACAGGTACTGACGAGATATCGAATATCGACGAAAAGGGCTACCATACCTAGGGAAAAATTTAAGTGTTATGGAATCCAGTGACTTTGTAAGATAACATGAGCGAGATAGTCTACCAAAATCAATGCTGGTTTTCCTTTCCTTCCTAATTGATTTACTGATTTATTCCCTTAGTTTGAAAATATTTGTCATGGAAGCGTACCATCGCTTAAAGTAGTCATGATTTGGTAAGCACAGAAAATGTCACCTTCAAACAATACTGACCCAGGTGAAAAAGTTATGCTGCGGCGAAACGCATTGTCGTACAGAGTGAAATTCGATCGAATGTGGAGTCACGTGAGAACACTGAGTTCGTGACGTTTAGTGCAAATGTAAATGACACTGTACTGAGATACTTACCTAAGTGAATTGATAAAAATTGATTTATTTCAATCAATCATAAATATTTAATCTAAAATGTCTTAACAGTTTACGTAGGTCAAATAGATCTTCCTTTACTAGCTGTGAAAGACAAAGTTTACAAGAAAGATTTTCTTTCAAGACTTTAAGATGCCTAATTTTTTAAAATTTAATTAAATCCCAAATAGCCACGTTATGGAAAAATGGATCATTTCTGAATGATTAGGCGGTTCTCTTATAATGTTTGTGTAAATAGTACTAACAATTGCTTTAAAAAAGGCAAACTTTCATTGTAACTCAAGCAAATGTAATAAGTATCGATGATTTAAGAAGAATAACAAAATTTTATCGTCAGTGACCGTACTATATATAGAGCAAGTGTATGTAGTCCAATTGTGAATAGCGAAAGTCGATCCTAGTATCCCGCGTGTAAACGTTTTATCAAACTTGATACTTGCCATCTTTAACACCTGTAATTTCAAGTCGGACACCTGTAACCTGGACTTGTAACGATGATTATTGAACTCATTTTCGTCTAGACTTGAAAATACAATGGTCCGAATTGTAGATTACAGGTGTAAATACTTTATTGTATGTTTTTCCTTGAAAACTCTGAGAAAAATCGAAGCTTGTTAAGGGGCGAAAGAAAGGAGGTGGCGGTATCGAGGACTTCATAGTGGCAAAAAGGAGCATATAGGAGTTATATGCTTCCGTGAATCAAAGTGGCTGGGAGCTACTGAACTCGGAACATTTATTGGGCAAAACTGAGATGTCAAGTCCAACCGAGTGCATGTCGCATTTTTCTCTAAAAATTAGAGTATAAGGAAAATCCTCCTCTATTTCAGTCCTGTGGAGGGCACCTATGAGGAGGAGAACTGGGTATGACTTTTTCAAGCTCCTGACTCCTTCCTCGGCCAATATGGCGGCTGAAATTTGTGTCCTTTGACTAATTTTCGCCGATCGTGATTGAATGATATTGGAGAATCATGTATTTTCATTTCCCAAGAATTAGAGTCGCTAGGAATAATTTTATAAGGTTACTTTGCTCTGCGCCAAGAATCGGAGACAATTTCTTTGACGAAACTGAGGTACGAGAGAAATTTAGAGTGCTCGGGACCGGTGATGTGACTCTATCCAAGCTAACAGGGAATAACAAAGGAGTTGCAGTGATATCTCTTACCAATCCTACAAGAAAAAATGCACTTACAGGGTACATGATGGTTAGACTTGCAGAAGTAGTTGACGAGCTGGAGCAATGGCAGCATGGAAAAGCTGTTGTTTTGCATGGCAGTGAAGGGTCTTTTTGTTCAGGGGCTGATTTGAGTGTAATAAAAGCGATCAATACCCCAGAAGAAGGACAATTAATGTGTGCTTTTATGCAAAGAACTCTGAGTCGCCTGGGAAGGCTTCCTCTTGTCAGCGTGGCAGCTATTGGAGGAAGAGCGTTTGGTGGAGGAGCTGAGGTAAGTAGTTTAAATGCATAAAGAGGGCTGCTTAAGGGCAGTCATACCAAAACGCTGAACGCAGATCGTGCAGGCAACGCAGACTGTGTACACCGCGCAGACCGCACTTTGTTCGCGGGAGAATTTCGACTGTTACTGCTCGCGAGACACTGACAAATTCATTCATAACCTATCACGCAAACGACTCCAATTTCACCAATATTTTGCGGTTTTTTTCTTTTCTGCCTGAAAAAAAATTACGTTTTCTCACTTGTAAAATTTTATTTTACGTCTCGGTGGACGTTAAAAGGAAGTTAAAAAGTTTGATTGGGTGACGAGCAGTAATAAACAGCAAACGAGTGCCTTTTGATTTCTGCTCCCACTCCCGCCCTCTCCCGATCCCATTTCTCCCGGGCTCCAGCACCCCTGTCCCCCTCCACTCTTGAGTACTGATTAAATATCATCCAAAAACATATTCGGAGACCCTAATAAGAAACTATTTTGCCTCAAGTTATTTGTTTGTTTTTTGGTTGGTACAAAGAATGAAACTATCTCCCATAGGCGAGATGAACGGATCATCTGATGATGTTTCTTTCTAGGGTGTGACTAATGGACGTAACTGAGGTAAAGAGGATCATGAATTGTTGAGTGCTTTGCTGACCAGACTGCTTAGTTCTTCTTGTTGATAATTTGGTGTCAAGCAAATCTTATCTTCTTCCTTCACCAGTTATCATTAGCATGTGACTTCAGACTCATGTCACAGGATGCAGAGATCAGGTTTGTTCAGGTTAAGATGGGTTTGTCACCAGGGTGGGGTGGTGGTGCAAGGCTTGTCAGGTTACTAGGGAAACAGAAAGCACTGCAGCTACTGGGAAGAGGAGAAAAGGTTACCCTACCACATGCACTTCAACTGGGACTGGTTGATGGTGAGCTACCAAATACAAAGGTAATTACTGATACTTTCTCCACCGATATTATATCTGTTTCATTTTAATAATAACCTTACTTTTACCTTGATATTTAAGATCTTGTAATGATTAACACAGCAATTAAATGATCTGGTATGTGTACACATTGTTATAGCAAGGTTGAGTATGTTAGGGCTGTCAGAATCAAACCAAGTTGTCTCACAAGAGTTGTGAACACACTCACAAGCCAGCAAGTCAAGGTGTTTTAAAACTGTATAATGTTTTTTTGTCTGTTTTAGTTTCCATTTACATATCCTATGAACATTTCAATGTTTGTATGGTTATTTTGTATGGTAGCAGTTGTCTATTAATTGTTTTCCTGTGAAATGTTGTGCAGACAATAAACTGACAGACAGCCAGCCAATATTGATCTCATAGCTCACACTTGACATTTGACAGTTTTACTGTAATCAAAATGTGGGAGGTACCTGTTGTTTGGGATCATGCAAAAGGATACTGTGGGGAGAGGGCTCACCTCCCCCCCCTACTGTGGTACAGACTTGATTCTCAAACTTGGCATCACACAAAGATAGAGTTTGTTGTTGGATCTTGCCCTTGCACATAGTTTTTCCGTCAGCCATGAAAACCAGCATTGCAAATTTTAATTTTATTTGAGCTACCTAATGGATGATCAAGTGATAATTCTAATGTAGTGATCCCATGTTTTCTCATGTTATTACTTCTCTTGATATTGCATCTTAAAAAAATGATCAGTTTTAAAGAGCAGATCTCAGGTTTAGTTAGTGGAGTGGTAGCCCAACATTCAGCATAGAATTGTATAGAACAATCCTTTTTTTGTAATTTTGGACCCATCACTTTGTTGAAAAACTACCTCTATAAAAAGTCACGAGAACAAAGAACTACCATGAAATTGTTGGGGAACCTTAAACCAAAGTTATGCTGTGGTATACTAACTGTGCCATTCCACCCACAGAACCTAAATCTGTAGAAGTACAGTATTTGTTTTCATCCTCTTGCTGAAGAAGCTTGAGTTCATTTAAGCATTGTTAGCTGAATAAAAAAATAAATATGTTGCATTTTTATATCCTACAAATTAAAAAATCATAGTTAATTACAAGTTCTTTTCTTATAGGATGTGGTTACTGGAAGTTGCAACTGGTTGTCAGAGTTCCTAGCAGCAGACACTTCAGTTCTGAGAGCAATTAAGAATGTTGTATCAATAGGAGACAACTCAAGGCTTAAAGATGAACTGGACATTGAGAGGTAGGTTTCTATGTCAATGTGTGCAAGTTGACATGATTGTTATTGTAAGGAAGTGATAGTTAAAACAGAATCATTTCCACTCAAAGTCACATGTACCAAGGAATAAGAACATCATATTACGCACAAGCTTATATTGGTGATTGTATTTTATAACTACCAAGTAAATTAACAAGTCAAATCTCAACAGGTGTTTACTAAGAACAAGCTTTCAAGTCCCCTTAATCCAAGATATCTATTGCAATTAATGCTAGTTGTATTTCTGAGCACATTTTTGTACATTGGGTGCACAGTTATGGCATAAAATGGAAAACCTCAATTCTGTGGAACCTGACATTAAGCAGTCACCCTGTGGGAATGCCAGGTTTGACTGTATATGACTATTCATGTAGAAATTCCGTTATTCAATACCATTAGGTGCTGAATAGTATAATAATGATAATATTAGGATTATCATAGTGAAATTTTCCCAGATGGTAATAATATTAATGTTAGTATTTCATTTTATTGCAGATCAATTTTTTCAACATTATTTGGAGCAGAAGCTAATAGGAAAGCTTTGGAAAATTCAAGAAAACACAAATAGCATAATGTTTTGTAAATGAAGTAATTTAAATCCAATGAAATTGTTATCAAAAGTAGTTTTATTTCAAAGGTGTGTTCGTCCCTTCACTTTGAAGAGTGAGAGAGAGATAAAGAGTGTATGTAACTCAAGCATATACATCAGAAGCTTTTGTTCTGATTAATGTCCAAACATGTCAGACTTCCTGCAAAACCTCCATGCGTATCACTAAAAATGTACACATCAGTAAGTTCTATAAAATTAAAAATACACATACCATAATGTTACTATAATTATAATATACCGGTACGTAAAATTAAATTGAACTATAAGGTGAGCAACTGATTTAGACAAATGTTTGTATTTTGAAGCCTTTTATTTGTCCTCTTACAAACTTAGGTCAAAATAACTTCTTCCAATTTGCAAAAAGAATGTATTTATTTTACAGGATTAAAATAACCATAGCTGTAACACCTTTGATGCCTCCATTGTAGTTTACCAATATGTTCATGTATCTCATATGAGTCTAACTGGATGATTCCCAGTTGTCATTGAAAATAAAAAAAATCTGTGGATGTCTAGTTAGACTGATGAAGCAACAATAAGTGTAAGAATTAAAGCATTTTGATGCTGATGTTTGCTTCCACCCATCACAACATCATGACCAGAGGAATTGAATCTCTTCAGTCCTACACGTGATGATGCAGCTCCTGACATCACTTTGAGAAAACTTGACAGCACTTGGAAACATTTTTCAGGAATCTGTCTTTTTGCAATTCTTTTTTGATACCAATTTAACTCTCAGTGCCTTTTTCAGTATCTTCAGCTTCCTCATCTTTTTCTGCCTCGTCCAAAGCATCTAAGGTTAGAGCTCCCACAGCAAGAGCCTCACGGTTCCTTGCTGCTGTAACCAGGCTGCGAGGATGAGGTGGAAGAATTCCAGCCTTATGAGGAGAAATTAGTTTGTTTCTGATAAGTTAAAATACTCTGTTGACATTTAATTGTACTAAATGAGTTAATGTCAGTGATAGTTTGGGTGATAAGTCCACACCTTTTCAAAGGCTTCTAATTCAGAACAAAATGGTGCACGACATGCTAAGAAGTATTATTATACAGATATAGATGAAATACAGGAATTTCTCTTTTTCAAAAAAATGATGTCTTCACTGTATGAGGGAAACTACTGAACTAATACATATAGATAAGTACCACATCATGGTAACCAGATTAACTGATCCATTGGTAAAGGGGCTAACAGATCGAAACTGACCAATGACGACTGACTTATGCCACTCGAGTCTTGCAGCCCATTACATCACAGCTAGAATGACCAATTGGTTTACACAAACTGGACTTAGTACATGTGACTGACATCAACTATTCACAAGACTCTGATGATGACTTTCACTCAGGTTGTTGAAATGACAGTCACCACCACTAACAAGATTCCTTCCCAGGACTACACTCACTCAGACAATCAGACTTCTGATTTTTTTCTAACTTTTGATTTTTCTTTTCTTAGAGAAATTTTTTCATTTACCGATATTTCCATGATTAATTCAACTTTTTGCATAAAGAAGGGTAAATCTTTTTCAAAGAGAGCTTGTTTTATTCTCAAGTCAAAGTTGAAGTTGTACACACTGAGTTTACACGCAAGTGATATTTGCATTCACTCCTCTTAAAAAGTGTTTAAAATTGTTTTAGATTGATATATCGGATCAATATCAGTATCTGGGCAACTGCCCACCTACCCCTCCCCTAACCCAACATTAACCTAAACTTGTTGTTAATTGACTGTTGTTGAGTTAGGGGAGGGGTAGGTGGGCAGTTGCTCGAATACTGATATTGATCCGACATATCAGTATCAATATAATAATACACAGAACATTACATTTCTGCCTGTGGATACGAATTTATCTTCTAGTGATAAAAAAATCTCTCTTATGGAAAAGAATACAGGAGTGCTGTGGCCAAGAATTATGTACCCAGGAAAAACCTGGCTCAAGGGGGAAGAACTTATTTCAAGCCAAAATTTTTCATCAACTTACCAGGCCTAATAAAATGGCCACTGGTCGGGAAGGTCTAGCTCCAACTGATAACCAGTATCTGAAAAAAATGCATAAAAGAGGACATCACGATCACATTGAAATGTCCGGTGTACTCACCACTTGAAAGGTATTGAAAGGGTATAGACAAAAGCTTATAAGCTTCTGATATGGATCAATAATATTAAATAAAAATTCAGCGCATTTATAGACCTCACCTTATTCTGTCCATATTTAAGCTCACTAGCTTTTCATTTCGAGTGTTTGGCAAAGGATCATAAGTTCCCACCTAGGAATATGATTACCACATTTCAATGAAAGCGCAAATACAAAATTATACAGACAACAGTTCCAATCCAGGCATGTACATCGACACACAACCATGTAATTTTCCCCGTCTTCAAGGAACTTTTTTCCTTTTAACTGAAGAACGATATATACCTGTTCAAGAGCTCCATAGTTTCGGGGTCGTTTCCTGTTCGTTGCCACAATATGAAAGAAAGGCCTGTTCTTGCAGCCATAAAGAGCGAAACGCAACGTAACGATAGTTTTAAGCTTCTTCATGTTCAGCGGGAAAGATGGCCGATTACAAGAAATCTACCAGGCTTTCCCTAAGTAAACGCGTAGGATCTGGTAGGAGTAGAACCCAGACTCTTTCTAAACGGAGAAAACAATATGGCGGCGGATGTGACACTTGGAACGTCCGTTGTAGAGATGTAGGTAAATTTACTTCAGTGTCATGAAAGGAGCAATAAAATTCAGAGATAACTGTGCGTTTCAAGTTCTTGATGGAGGGTAAAAGTAATTCTTCGAGAATTTCTACGAAGACTTCTCAGGTATTCCACTGTATGGCATGCATCATCATGATGCCAGTTGTTTAATTTGCAGTATGTAGAGTTGATTTTTAAGAGTTCTTTAGATCATTAAGCTTACTCTTATAGAATTTAATGTTTTTTTATTTTAACTAGGTTTTAGTGCAGCCTCTGGATGATTCAAAAATAAGAAATTTGCTGCATACTTTAGAGGATTTAGTGAAATCATCTCTTGGACCTTCTGGCAGGTTGTTGTTTTTTTCACATTGCATTTGTGTCTGGAAAGTCAAGTATTTAGTATTCCTGCCAAAGTTCTTTTAATCAAATGCGAGTGATTTACCCTTAAACATCTACCCAGCTTGGCTCAGCTGAGTGCTTTTTTGGGTCATTGAAAAGTATAAAAGTGTGGACAAGGAACTTGGGACTGTGGACTACGTGGACTACCATTTAGTACAGTCCTTAAACATACTTTTTGGGAATGAGATATTAAGAAAATCAACAATGTTTTTTTTGTTTCTAGATTCCTCTTTTGTGATCTGCACAATGCTTAAGATTTTAATTCTGTAACATCAAAATGTGGTTCATGTTCTGCATCTGGTCCACAGTTCCCAGTCCATGATTTAGAAAATATATTTTTTAAGGTGGAGCTTGAACAATGTTGTTATGTTGATATTTTCTCCAACCTTGCTTATTACTTTGGTATTTATCATCAATAATGAATTCTGCACATCACCTTTACAGACTAAAGTTCTTTCAGACATCTGGAGGTGGTCATGTTACTGTAACATCAACATCGAGCAAAATTCTTCATAGTTTGTCTGGGTTGTCACATCCTATATCAAGGTTGATTCTCTCTGCTGTAAGAGGGCATCTAGATGCCTATAATGATGGTGGTTTGAGGACAGCATTGCTTATGTTAAGGTAACCCTCTGGCTTAAAATCTACAGCAAAAAGATCACATTTTAAGATCTCATAAGTAATTCTCCTTACTGTCTGCCAAACAATTCTTATTATGTTAGTTTGGAGAATTGAGTATTGGATCAATTGGTAATTCCATAATTGGTACTTTTCTTAATTCTCATCACTTGTCTACATGATATTGTATAGATATAGTAAGAAGAAATTCTGTCTTGGTCACTTATGGGAGTTGAAGATTAAGCCCTTGTCATTTATTAGGTCATGCTGACTGCAGGCTAGTGTATTTACCTCATATGGTTATATTTACTGTACAATGTACATTTTTTAATGTAATCTTTTTCAAATTAACTCAATTTTATTAGCTTGATACAATCAGCCATTGACATGCAAATTCCAAGAGTGCTAGTGACACAGATCTTTGAACATTCTCTGGAAGTCTTGTCTGATCACCTTGAATCATGTCACTGGAAAATGAAGATGGATATTGGACACATGAAAAGCATGATGTCTGTTGTGAACAGTATTATTGGAACCAAATCTGCTTGTCATCTTAGTGAATCAGAAAAGCAATATATCAGTGTGTTACTGATCAAGGTAGGATAGTTGATAAGTCTTTCTTCATGTACAGTACTTTTTGTTGCATAACAATAAACTGATTGATATGGATTAATTTCATTAATAATTGTCAATTGTAGTTATACTTCCTAATTATGGAAGCCTATTGTCAATATTTTATTAAGGAAATCACCTAAAGGATAGAAAGATACAGTACTGTAGGATTATGGACCTCTAGTACTGAGGCATGAAGAAAGCTACTTGATATATTGCATTCAAGAAAGAACTACATGTACTCTGCAGCCAGGCTACATGTATATACTGAAGTTTATCATCAGTTACACAACCTGACAAATAAAAAGAATATTTTTCCATGCACCAAATGATTGACATAGTTAGAACAGATTCAAAAGGATGATTGTTAATGAAATTTATTTTTGTATTTACATTTATCTGTCATGTTTTGATTTTAGGCTTTTCTCCAATCTTTGCCAAGTAAGATGTGTAAAGATTCTTCCTGTTCACCTTTGGCACCTCTTCCAGTCCAAATAGTAACTTGTGAGGGAGATCCTGTGAATGAATCCAAAATTTTTCTAGGTGTCCTTTTACAAGCCCCTGATATTCCTACCTTTCGACAAAACAAGACCCTTGTAAGCCCTGCTGCCAAGGTTGCTTTATACAATGTATCAATGGCAGGAGACACTGATGAATGGTTCGGTGATAGTGTGAAGACAGAGCAAACAATGTTTAGGCATGATACTAACATAGAAAGTGCAACTGTGCGTCAAATGCTAAAGGTTGCTGATTGGTTGATTAGTACTGGGGTAGCTGTTATTGCTTGCCAGAAGTGTGTACATCCTGCAGTCAAGCAATATTTGCGAGATAAGGTTTGCATTTTTTCTTTAGTCTTGAGTGAAAACAAAGTTTTGATTTGAACTTTGTGGATGAGTATTCATTGATATATAAATTTTCTGGTTTTTTTTTTACTTGCTGAGGCTTGTGAAGCTTAAGCACTGGTAATGAATTACTTTAAATACTTGAAATAGCCTCAAGAGATATCAGCATTTATTTAAGGGTGGTGCTTGTTTAATTTTTTCCAAATCTTGGCCAGACAAAAATTTTTTTTTTTTTTCTGCAATATGAAATCAGTATACTAACAACAGCACAGGCTGAGAGTGTGTTACAAAGCTTATCCATAAGTTGTGGTCACATAGCACAGCTAGTGCTCACAGTTACCTTAATTCCAAACTCTAGCATGTTCACAAACTGAGAAAGTATGGTGATATGTGCAAATTATAAACTGCAATATAATTATACTCTTAAAGAGTGTGGCAAACATGATTACTGAAGAAAAAGAATAAGAAAAACAAAATCAGGGGAAAGAGAGAGGGGGGCTGCCAGAAAAAGGGTTCTTCTTAAAAATTTGATGTGTTAGTAGAGGTGCCTATTGAATGAGGGGTGCTAATTTATGAGAATTTACGGGTGAGAATTTATGCTAAAAAAGTTTCAAAACTCTTTTTCATTTCTATTTTAAACACCAGTTTGTGTAGGTCACAATACTGCAGGATTGGCTTGATGTAACACAAAGTCATCAAGTGTAACCCAATTTTGTCCTTGTTTGAATTTTTTAAGGGTGCTTTGGTGATTGATCGTGTCTCGATTGTTCACATTACGGCTGTACAGAGACTGACTGGGGCTGTACTCTTGAGCACTTTCACCATGGACATTCCTGTGTCAAACTTTGGACAACTGGAGAGGATTGAACATATGGTGTTAAATAACAAGAGGTCTGTTTGAGTTTATTCTCTGTCACAACATGTATGGACTGGAAGTGAACCACTAACATCATCATTATTAGTAATATTAGTATGTCATGGTTAAGTTTATTTCTCATCATCCTGCTGCCATCATTACCATCTGTTTAATTTCTTGTGGATCTTGATATGGCTTCACTTGGCCAGGGTTGTCAAAAAAAATTTTGAGTAAGCAGACTGTGATACAAAGTAGGCTGCAGAATGTCATGACCCCATGATGAAAATTGAGCCACAAGCATTTGATATAACTGGCATGTTTTTTAGAGCAGTTTTTCTGAGAAATGCACCAGTTGCCAACTTATTTTAACAACCCTGCAAGTCCTTGCTTGGCCTTCAGCTATCAATTAGACAACAAATTAAGCAGGTTTTTACTTTTTATTCAAATGACTCATCTTAAAAAACAAATGCTCATAAACCATAATCTACAACAATTGTACACATGATGCTCACTTTCTATCTAGAGAAATTAAAAAATGTTGGCTTTCAGTAATGTGATTTCTTTGTACACAGCTACATTCATCTGTTTCCTCAACCATCATTAAAATCCTCTCCTGTGTGCACTCTTGTGCTGTGTGCACCAGATGAAACTTCCCTTGAGGAGCTCAAGACAGTTTGCCAAGCATCCATCATTGCATTACATGAGACACTTAAACAACCATATGTCTTTCCTGGTGCTGGCTGTCTGGACACACACTTAGCATCAGTGCTAAGAATGTATGGGAAAAACTGTAGTTCAGAGAAATCCAGAGATCTTGGCTGCTCTAAAGGTAAAAAGTTTGACATTGTTACATAGTTTGGTAACATTCTATTGGAGATTTGCAGCAACCATTTTATCCACTCAAATTTCTTAGTGTGAAAATGGCTTGTTGAAGAATACTTGTTATTTTTTATTATTACAGATATACAATCATGTAAATTGTTCAAAAAGTTTTTCTAATCTCCCACATTTCTGCCTAAGGTTTTCCTTTAAGGCGCATTCAAGTTTCATCATGATGAAATTCATTTTAAATATTAGTTCATAACATTGCAGCATTTTTAGACTGTATCTTTGCAAATGTTCTCTTAACTCTAGAAATGTTGTTTCTTAGGTCAGATAATTTCTGTTATCAACAATGTAGCCCTCTGCTTGGAATCCTTGGCCAAGTGCCTAGAACATGACGGTGGGATTGAGATTACTGACTCAGCCAATCACCATCATTGGAGTCTTTCTCCTAGAGCACTGGAACTGAAACCCAGCATGCCTTACTGCATGTGTGGATTGGTGTCCCATGACCATTCATTGGAGTGGAGCATGATGGGAGAAATGATCACAAATACCTCATTTGGTTCTGGGGACAAGTGTTGCACTGGAAATAGTAACAAACTATTTGAGAATGTTGTTGTGGATATTTACTCAATGAAGATAAATTCATACAGAATTGCATTTGAAACTGCCAATGCTATACTAAGAATTCAATGTATAGTAAATAGTAATGTGGTGTAAATATTATAATAGTAATTTGGTGGTAACATGATGACATGAAGATAAAAACAAAATTTACAATATAAAATCTAAACCTAGCACAACTGAGTAGTTTGCTTAATGCTGTTGTCTTACCATTTAACCCTTAACTTCCAGAAGTGATTAATGTGTTACTTCTCTCTATAATATCCATAAATTATCTAGCAAACAGGTAACGAGAATACTCAGACTTATCAAGTAGAAGTGGTTATCTTGATCTAACACCAAATTCTTGTAACTAATCTACAAGGAAATGTTTAGCAGCCAGAGCAGAGGATTAACAATCAGATATTGGGAGCTAAAGAGTTACAGATGATAACATAACACATCCCAACAGACACAATGTAAAGATAATCAACTAAAATTCAACATTTAAGGTTTTAGATATTTATTTTAAAATAGTTACCGTAAAAATTTATTGACTTTCTACTCTAGTGATTATGTTTCATTTTTTTACAAAGAAATTTTCTCTATATTTGGAAGCATTTAAAACACTCAAAGAGCAGAGGAAACGAAACACAAGATTATCTTCCCCACTACCTGTCCTTCATCTGAAGGTAGAGACGTGCGTGGAGGAAGAACTACGGGTTTTTAAATAAGAGGCATTCTATATGACGACACCGGAAGTTCGTGTTGGAATGGCACAATCGTTGGTCAGCGGATAACCTTAACTTCCGGTTGATCTTTTCTTTTCGTAGCATACGACAGCTGTTGAGTTTTATTTGGCGGTTGTACAAATATTTGTGCGTTATTTATGCATCATGGTCGTGGTGAATTAGTGAAGAAGCATAGGAAAGCCTTAAAATAATTTATCACTGAGCTAAATGTAATACTTTTGACGCGGATAACACATGACGAGGCGATGCAACAGTCAAGTGTCGACCACGGAGAACGGGGAATTGAACATTCGTCCTCGACAGTTTCTAAAATTGGCTCTTGTGATCGGATTTATGATCGCAGTTGCTCTCATTGCTTTGTACTACAGGAACTTTTTGATAATTTTGATTATCATAGCCGTGTGGATCTCTTAACCAGCGAAGGAAACACGTCCGTAGATGCTTCACATTTGAAGATTCTCCGTTATATTGGACGACACTGTGGATGGCTTTTCAATTCGATACTGTCTTGTTTCGCCGTTCAAGTTTCAATTACGGTACTCCAGGTTGTATACTCTTGGTCGCAACAATTCGTTTTGGTCTTGAACGATCTATTTGTTTCAGACATGCCCATGGAGCAGCTAAAAAGAACGAACTATCGATTGGGTAACCCCGAAGTGATATAAAGTGCGTCTAGTCACTATGGAGTTTTCGCCTTCCCTCAGGAATGAAACTCTGTAATTAGCGTAAACAAAAAGGGACATGAAATAAATTATAAATTCATGTATCACTTTCAAAGGTAGTTACTTAGAGATTTCAATGAACGGTGGCTTCTCGAGAACTTTTTTGAATGAGATTGACAGTGCATGATGTTAAAGTAGATTTAGGTCATGATCTTTAGGATGTAGCGATGAATTGAAATATACCAGTATCGATCCTTCATTCCTGTTGTCGGAATTAACTGTGTCTAGAAAGAAGGGAATGATAGAAGTCAAAGACGTAAAACTTAACTGCATGCGCTTGTTTTTTGGTTTTTTTTGGTTTTTTTTGGCTTTCGTTTAACATTATCATCCTGTGCCCTAAGGGGTTCAGGAGTAACTACTGTATTCAATTTGACGGCTCAGCGGTTGGTTCGGATTTCAGTTAAAATACTTCTCACTTCCCACAGTTACTTTTTAATGCAGCTATGATAATATGTTATGCAAATCACCGTGAGTTTTTCTTCTTTCGATGAAACTACTGTTCCATGCTCTACTGGAGCAAAACGAATACTCAGCTGCTCACCCATCAAACGTATTGACTCAAATATCAGCAAATGTAAATCTGGTCACAATCTCCTTGCTTTTCTCTTCTCTGAGAGTTAGATATCAAGCATTTAAATTGAATAAAAGTAAGAGATCAGCTCTGATAATTAACTTGGTTTGGGAACTGGGAAAGTCACTTATTTTTTCATGTTAAGCATAAACCTGGGTTTAAAAAGTCATCATAATTGTAACATTTCAGACAATCTTTTATTACTGGGGTCACTAATGTTAGGATTTTGCTGTGTTTTAACT